AAATTAATGCAGAACACCATGAAATTCCAAAAGGTTCACATACTTTTTCTTGCAACTGTAGTTCAATTTAAATTTATTCAACATAGGTTAATGAAGTGCAGCTAGTATGGTTTTTCTCCAAATGTTAATAATTTGTTCCTTTAGTCACACTGAAAATTACAGTTTGATGAAAAAATTGGGTGTCACATTGATGGAGACTTGAGGTGGTCCTTCAGCTTCTGGCTGTGCCCTCAGATGTCCTGTGTAGCTGTCACTGCAATTGACAATTACTGAAAGACCCCTGAAACATCATTATTATTATTGAGCATTGATGAGGTCAAAGCAAGCTTTAGGCAGCAAGAAATTGTTTAATTGGACTATTCATTGGTTGGAAACACTATGCTTGTTCATTTGGGGGGGAGCAGATTGAGAAAAACTTTCCTCTAAGTGGCCGATGCTGGAAATCACTATGTTAGTATAATTTTACTAGCTTATTATGAATTTTCATAAACGTTAACTCTGTTTTCATCCCATGCTCACTACTATTACTGTTACTCCTAAGGCTTTTACTTGGTTTTTCCCAGATGGCTGTTGATGAGGCTCACAGACAGAATTTCTCATCTATTTTTCTCCCGGTATTTGAATCTGTCAATCCATGTCTGATCTTAATTGTGCGCAGAGAAAATATTGTGGGGGATGCTGTAGAAGTCCTAAGGAAAACAAAAAATCTAGATTACAAGAAGCCTCTCAAGGTATGGCATTTTGGAATATTTTAATTTTGTGATAGACATCAGCTTACAGTCATGTTTCTCCCTCCTCTGCTCTTTCCCTTCTAAAGCTTCATCTTGGAAGTGCCTAGAAGGTGGGATGCCAAAATTTTGAGCAGAAAAATACCTGGCTGATAAAGGATTCAATATTCCCCGCCATTCAAAATAATAATAATAATAATAATAATAATAATAATAATTATCATTATCATTATCATTATCATTATCATTATCATTATCATTATCATTATCATTATC